CATCCAACACTTGGCTTACATTCATAGTATTTGCCAGCATGTAAGCAACCTTTAATCAATAAGCACATACAATCGACATTTTTTCAGGTTTCAGCTATGTATTCAGCATGTTACGGGTAGGAACATGTGAGAATGTCCTCGGTGAAAATGTTCAACTTCCACACATCGGAAGCCGGAGGGCTGGGTCCGGAACGAGGGCGTTTGTCAGATATCGCTAAGCACCCTCACGAGCATCGAACGCAGAGGAAATACCTTCGTTCTCGGCATGCGACGTGGGGTTCTCATCCCCGGACCCCAGTCTCCTCCAACGGCCCCCGCACGTCGTCTCGTTATCGATTCCTGTCCGCAGTCTTCTCGAATGCGATTCCCTCTCTATTGCGAGCCCCGGCGGATCAGGGGTCTAAGAGGCCCGATAGCTTGAAGCAAATACGTCCACAATCTCTCACCACTTCCATCTTGGCACTGGAACACCGTGGCAATGGAATGCATAGATATAGAGAACAAATGCAGACGGAATTCACGCCGGATGATGAAGGCACGAAACACACGGAGGCACACGGGCGTCTCTTGGTCTGGCGTTGTGGCGTCCGGAGACAGCCGCGCCTACTGTACTTACTTCAAGTTACTTGGACCAACTGAAGATCATCAGCATTCGTTTGTGTAGACTCTGTAGAGTACATCTGTACACATTGAACTCCAAGTAGTAATAACAGGATGCCGTGCGATTGAGGACTCGCAGACACATCGCGGACTAGTGCAGTACTCGACGTTGGTGGGGAGCGAACGGAGGTAGCACAATAGAAACCACAGACGGGCCATGCAGCGATGTCAGGCAGGAAAGTGTGCAAGCTCAGCCGCGAGCACCGGCCGTTCGTTTGCCCTTCTACTGGCCATCATTGTGGGACCGCTTCTCTGTGGTAGACCGAGAGAACGCCCCAGGTGCGGGCATGCCGGACGTGGGTTGCAGGCGCGAGGATGCATCTTGTTGAGCGCGGTCAAATGTTGTCTGGGACCGCGCTCTTCCTGCGGTTGGTCTTCCCCCACGTCGTCTGTGGGCCATCCACCTTCGTCCTTCGAGGCGTCGACGAACATTGACAGGGTTGCTTGGCGTGGGTCGGGGCTTTCGCTAATCTGACACCGCTAGTGGCCGGTCTGACAAACGCTTCACATGCGCAATCCTCGAATCGTTCAGCTCATCGGAAGAAGCTTCGGTGCATTCATGCTCAACCTCCCAGTCCAGCAAGGTGCACCGAGCCTCGAAGCAGAGCACATTGTCCGGCCAGCTTGATATATGATTCTGCAACATTTGAAGCGGAGAACGACGTGCAACTGTCAGTGTCATGATGTCCGCTGAAGGACGGGCATCGCCGCAGGATAGCCTGCTGAACATTGTGCGAGCTTTCTGAACAATACGTCCGGATATTTGGCGCGTAGTTGGACGATCTCCGAGTCGGCGAGGCGGGAGGCTTCACCAACGCCGCGCTTGAGTTTCTTCGGACGCTGTGGTCACCCTGACATAAAGGCTATTTAAATAGCCAAACGAAACCATTCGTTAGGGGTCTTCGGTCGCAGAGAGTGATAGCGAAAGACTGCAGGAGCGAATTTGCAACACTGCTTACTGGTACTTACTACTAGTACCAGGTAGTACCGCGTTGGGCCACAAACACTGGCAGGCGCTTGAAGAGGGTGGTGCTAAGGTGTGACAAAGCCGTGACAAAGCGGATGACAGAGCGTGACACGCTTCCGAAAGCGGACCAAGCGCCCTTACCCCTCCGTGGGGAGGTTCGGAGCTCAGCCACCACCACCTTGACTTTCTACCACGACGACGACGATGGCGACGACGATGGCGGACGCGAAGGTCGCCCCGAACAAACTTGCAATGTCCCGCGCCCTCGGCGCTGCGTTCCTCAACCACAAGGTCGAGCAGCTGGAGAAGACGGTGCATACGAACGGAAACTGGCGCGGGCGCCGCAGCCCGGAGACATGGCGCGGCGGCGCAGAGGCCAAACGCAACTTCTCTGGCTCCAATGCGAACCCGAAGATCCTGAAGAGGCGGAACGAGGATGGAGAGGGCATGAAGGGCCAGAAGGCGGACGGAGAGGGGAGGAGGAGCGAGGACTCGGCCAAGGGCCACAAGGACGCGGATATCGTGGTGGTGGACGCGAGCGTGCTCGTCAACGGCATCTATCACCTCAAAAAATGGTGTCGGGAGGGCCGTGAGGAGGTCGTGATCGTCCCGCTCGAAGGTGTGTGTTCCGTCTCCATCGTTCCACTCCTTATCAGACTCAGCTTTCCCAGCTCTGAACACGCTCGACCTGCTCAAGAAGGGCACCAGCGCCCTGGCCCAACGCGCCCGTGCGGCATCCCGGATCCTCGAAGCCCAGGTGGGGGCGAACCCCCGCATCCGCGTGCAGCAGGACGAGGCGTATGTGCCGTGGGACAGCCTCCCGTTCGACGAGCAGACCGCCGCCACGCTCAACACCGCTCCGGAATGGGTGCGCCGCACCGTATGCTGTGCCCGCTGGGAAGCCGAGCATGCGACCGAGGAGCTCAAGGATGGGAAGCCCGCCCAGCCCCGCGTCGTGCTCGCCGTCCTCCCTCCTCCCGCTGACACCCAAACCGAGTCTGCGAACCCGACGCCAGTGCTTGCCTCTCCCGTACCGCTGCCCGCCCCGCAGCCAAACAGATATGAATCACGTCTGTCCGGCGATATCGTCGCCCGCTGGGCCTCCAAGGCCGGCGTGGAAGTCCTCGAGGTCTCCTCTGCGCCTCCGCAGAATCCCGCCGGGGGAGCGGGGGCCGACCCCGCCACCAAAGGACCCCGCTCGGGCGAGGGACGACGCTCTGGAGAGGAGGATCGTGCCAAACGCGGGCAAGGCGCAGGCGGTCAGACCGGACGTGGGCGGCGCAATTCGCGCGGGACGACGCCAGGCGGGTCTAGACCGCCTCCGTCGACTGCTGGGACGGGCCTCGTCGAGCGTCCGCCGGCAGTGATGGCGATGATGGAAATGGTGGCGCAGCCCAGCCGCGTCGTCCGTGTCCTTGCGCGTGGCGAGAAACTTGACCCTTAAACGCAGGTGGCTCACGAACAACAACAAACAGGTAAGCCATTTGCTGCACTTGGAGGACGTCCTTGACTGTGGCTAACAGCATGTGGCCAGATGACCCACTTGTCTCCGGACTACAAGCCTGTTCGACAGCGTTAGAGGTACCCGTGCCGGATTGCGCCTCTTGGTGGTGGACGCGGTGCGTCTACGCGCCACACATCTCACCCCCTTGTCTCGTGCGAGTACTCCTCGCGCAGCGCTCGCAGGGCGGTGGATCGCCTTCCCGGACACGAATTGACTGGCTTGACATGGGACCGTTGGAGCGAGGTGCGTTGCTATCGTGCCATCCCACAGCGGATCGAGGTTGCGAGCTTCATGGTATGTTAGCTATATGCTTTCCTTCCCATTCTCTCTTGCGGTCGTTGGGCGGTTCTGATCTGGGCGTCGTGTCCTTGTACGACTATCTCTTGCAGTGGCTCCCGTCTCGATCTCAGGTCGCGGTCTCTCAATCCTACTCCCATCCCATCTCGTATGCGAACTTTCTCCCCGTATGGTGCCCCGTATCTCTCACTTCGTTGTACCGAGTTTCGTCCCCTCATGTGTCCTTGGATATGATGAATCTCTTCTCTCTCTTGTCTACTCGTACATCATAGCATACATCTTGTGCGAACCGCTGCCCTGCCCTATTGCTATCTCAGTACGAGGTACGTCCATGGTCTCTCAGACTTACCACAGCCTCTGGACTGGGGAACGTCAACCAGCCTTCGACTCCTTCCCGCTGGCTGCCTGCTGTTGCAGCTTCATCTGGAGGACGTTGATCAGGTAATTCATGTTCTCCTGCTTCTTCTGGATCGTCTCCTGCAGCGCTTCGAGGTTCGTCCGGATGTATTCCACCTTCGATTCGTAGTGCTTGATCGCCTGCGTACGCGTCTGTCGCGCACGATCTGCGCATGAGCGGACATTGACAGGTGGTAAGGATAGCGCGCACGGACGCACCTTCTTCACGTAGTAGCCCGTCCCGATGTCGACAATGACGTGCTTGGTATCACGGAGCTTCCCCGGGACGTAGAGCGAGTTCGTCAAGGGCACGAGGATCGTCTTGTCTGGAGCGCGGATGAGCACCGTGCCCGTGCAACACAGCAATGGCCGCACTGCACGCACCCTCGTTCTCCGGCTTCACCTGCCCCACGTTCTCCATGCACGCGCGGAACTTTGCCTGCGCTTGGCGCAGTTGCGCGTATGAATTCGACAGATGGGTGAGCTCCTGTGGAAGAGATCAGGTCAGAATGTATGCATGGGATACCGGGAGAAGGAGAAGGCGCACCTCTTCAAGCTGACGACGAACGTCTGCGAGTTGCGGGACGTCAAGGTCTGTTACGTTGATTTGCTGCGGTGATGCTGAGCTCGATGCCATGGTCGTAGATGAAGCAGCTCCAGAGTCGGTGAGAGTCAGTACTGAGTAGAATTCGTTGACTGATACGCTAACGGACCAGCAAGTGAATGTGTGACTGACGACATGTCTGTGCGATGAGAACCATGCCTCACAACGCCCGTTTAGCTCAGTGGTAGAGCGCGCCACTCGTAATGGTGAGGTCGGTTGTTCAATCCAGCCAATGGGCAGGTTTCCGGCGCTATAGTGTAGTGGTTATCACTTGGGATTCTGACCGTCCAGTCGGTGTTCCCAAAACCCAGGTTCGAGCCCTGGTAGCGCCTGACCTTTTGCCTTTTGCACGAAGGACCGCGCGAACTTCATCTCAGTACTTTTGACGGTAGCTTGAGATGCTCAGCGTGATGAGGCGAGGCGGCGTGTACGCGACACACGTACTTAAGTACCACATGCACACAATCATGCCGACCTTGCTCTACTTACAGCTGTGAGTCGTGAACACAGAAAGTGTATGGAATATATGTAGAGTTCTCCTTTATGGTCCTTCGTTTGAGGAGCAAAAGTTCAGGCGCTACCAGGGCTCGAACCTGGGTTTTGGGAACACCGACTGGACGGTCAGAATCCCAAGTGATAACCACTACACTATAGCGCCGGAAACCTGCCCATTGGCTGGATTGAACAACCGACCTCACCATTACGAGTGGCGCGCTCTACCACTGAGCTAAACGGGCGTTGAGGGACACTCACAAGCAAAACACCAGAAGCTGTCTGCCGGTTCAATCACGCGCCGTTGCGGATGGAGAGTGGCTGCTTGGTGCACGTACGCGTCTTAAACGCTTTCCACCATACTCGTATATCATCAGACACGATATGGCCAACAACAGCGAGGAGACACGACGCACGCAGAGCCCTTTCAGGCTGCCGGCGAACACAGGTCCCAGGATCGGCCGTGTAGGCGCATGGGGCCAATCGTCCGAATCGTCGTCTAGGTGCGTACGCCACCTGATTGTCTGTTCACCAGCACCGTTCATTGATGAGTATCACAGGGCGAGCAGCGCTGGAGGCGGCCGACGCATCGCAACTCTCAGCGATATTTCTAGCGGGGGCGGGCCTGCGGCCGGCTTGAACCCGGCATCCCGGGGTGGACATGGCGGACACGCGCACGATGAGGACGATGAGGACGAGGACGAGCCTATGGGCGGTGACCAGGGAGAGAACTGGTATGCCGGTGGTGAACGGAGGTTCGTGTAATGTTCCACGGAGGTCTTTCGGACACTGACTCGTGTATAGTGGTATCTCCGTGCAGAATCCCGACAGGCCTGGCGCGGTGCCCGGCGGTAACCTCGTTCGCGACCTGTTGAGGCGGGCTGCTGAGTATGTTATGCCTCATTTCTCCAACAGTGGTTGGATTGTTGACATCGTGTGTGTTAGAGCAGGACCGCCTGCTCCTCAGCCTGGCGGAGCTGCGCCCTCCCAGAGGCGCGCGTTCTTCGGTGGAGGCTTCACGTTGGGAAGCGATGAAGTCGACAGCGAATACATTCCCGACCCAGATGCTCCCAACGCCCGTAAGTCTGACCACTGCCACCCTATTGTCCGGAGCGTTCTCTGATAGCATGCAGACCATGAGGAGGAAACCGCGATTCGCCATCTTACGTTTTGGCGCGATGGGTTCACCGTCGAGGACGGCGAACTCATGCGGTACGACGATCCCGGAAACGAGCAAATCCTTGCCGAGATCAACGCAGGGTATGTGGGCTCATCATTGCACCGTCCCGCCCCTCGCTGACCCTCCACATCCACAGTCGTGCGCCACCCCAGATCCTGAACGTGTCCCCCGGCCAGCCCGTCGAGCTCCGTGTGGTCAAGCGCCTCAGCGAAGACTACGTGCCTTCGCCGAGAGCACGTCAGGCGAAGGTTTTCTCCGGCCAGGGCCACCGCCTAGGTTCGCCCATTCCAGGGGAGATCTCGCCCGGAGCTTCTGCTGGTGCGAGCGGGAGCGCGATGCCCGGCGGTTTCCCCAGCGGAGCGGCCGGTGGAAGCTCGTTGCCCACCCAACGTAACGTGGAGGGCATCAATACCCGGTTCGAGGTCGACCAGTCCAAGCCGACTACTAGCGTCCAAATCCGACTTGCAGACGGGACGAGGTGGGTTCTCAAGTCGTAGCAGCCTCGATTAGCATGGTTGAACCCGATCACTTCCTACAGGTTGGTCGCGCGCATGAACCTGACGCATACCGTCGGTGACATCCGCAATTTCATCAATGCGTAAGTTCGTCAACTCGTGATCTTCCATGACAGCTACTCATTCGTATATGCAGATCTCGACCGGAGAACAACGCCCGCCCGTATGTGATCATGACGACGTTCCCGAACAGGACTTTGGAGGACGAGAAGCAGACGATCGAAGCCGCTGGCTTGGCGAACAGCGTCGTTGTGCAGCGCTGGACGTGATGGATGTGGGCTCGGTGTTGGCAGGTTCTTGGAGTCAGAAAGCACGCGTAGTGTGGATTGGTGTATCAATAGAATTGTGCAAGTAGCTATGTCGATCATCCACATCCTTCACGAGGCTATCATCCACACGACATACGTATGCATAGCATCCTCCCGTTGCAGTACCGAGACGAAGGGAGGCTACTGATCGTCGAACGTTTTGGTGGTTAGGCGAATGCAGCCTATGACCAAAGCGGACTGGGGACGCCACCAGTCGAACGCCCAAGTGAATTTTCGGATTTGAATTTTTCCCCAGACCCCCGACGCCCGCTTGCGACCCCCCGCCGCTGACAACTCACCTGGTAACCCGGGGCAGTGACGTCCTGCTAAGGAGCTACAGTCGCTGCTGAGTTCGTCGTGCGCGACGACGACGATAGCGAATTGGGCGTGCAACGCGGAGTCGATAACCAGCCCGCATTTCCGTACCGCAAGTCCGAACCGAACGCAGCAGGTGCTGGTGCGGATAGGAGGCCTTCAAAGGCGATCGCATTACCCGACGTGACTAGGTGAGCAGCCACACTCTTTGCACGTTTTTCAAAGCGCATGCTGACCGCCAACAAAGGGGTGCAGGTTGCGTTCCGTCCTCGAGCTCGTCGCGTCGCCCGGCATGAACGCGTCTCTTCTCGCGCGGCCGCCTCCGGATTCGCAAGCGCCGGTCGCCGCGCCTCCAGCCTCCACGAGCGCGAACGCGAACGCGGGCTCTGTGAGAACAAAGAGCTTTGTCCCGCGCGATAACGCGTCGACTGCACCGAGGAAGGGTCCAGAGGTCACAGGATGGACAGAGCCGGTCGATGCAACGCGACAGTGCTCTGTGGGGTCGTGCGCGAACCCGCCCGAGTGGCCGTGGAGGCGATGCCGAAGCTGCAGAGCAGCAGGCACCGTGCAGAAGTCGGTGGTGAGTCCATTCCACTGTTCACCTTTTGCATAGCGCTAGTCCATCACAGGGGCAAGGGCCACGAGATGGCACCAGATCCCATCGGTCGTTTATTACATTCAAACTAGATGCTCATGTTTAAATGTACAGGTGGTCTCTTGCGCATCGTGCAGGGCCTCAGTGTCCGTGCATACGACGGTCGCAAAATCTGGACAACCCGTGCGTTGTATATCGTGCCATACAAAAGGCCCCGCTGGGAAAAGGATCGACATGAAGGAGCGTCCACCACTGACCACCATGGGCCCACCACCGCCCAAGCAGCTCAATGAGTTAAAGCGCAAGGTGCCGGCGCAGGGTCCCCTGGCAGAGCACGGGCCTCAGAGCATCCTCGAAGCGGCTGCAGCATTCGTGCACCCAGATCATCTCCATGTGCTCCGGTTGCCCGAGACTATGCGTCAGTCCCTGCAGTCCGCGCCCCGGCTCAACCACGCCCTGCTTCACATGCACACACCTGTGTCGACTTTGGGATCGGCTCATTATGGACCTCACGGAGAGATCTTGGCAGTCACACCCGGACGTATGAGGGTGCCGTATGATGACCAAAGTCGTATACGGCCTCCTGAGCTTCCCGTGGTTGCGGGATCTTTCGTGCCTCCTCAAAGCGGCCGTACTCCAGCTGAGAGCATCGTCATCTACGACCCGAATAATATGCATAATGAGGTGGGTTGCGCAGCGAAGTGTTAGCAGTGATGTTCCCTTTCTGACTCTCTGGCTAGGCGGCGGAGAAGGGGTCACTCCAAAGGAGAGCGACACTCACGAACGATAATGTGGTATGTTCACAAACGCTTGGAGTTATGTGCTGACGACGGATGGTTGATGGGCACTCAGGTAAAGCGGAGGGTCACCTTGAAACTCCCGTCCGGTTCTTCGGTATGTTTCCTTACGGACAGCATCGATAGCAGTAAACTCATTGTCCCTCCAGGAGGTCGACGGTGTGGAGGAAACTACACCACTTCTCAAACGCAAGCGTCAATCCTCATCTAGCAATCACGCACCGATGGCAGAGCGCGTCTGTATCTCGTCAGGATGCGGGCGTCAGATCCCGCCGAACACGAAAGGCGAGTTCTGTGCGGATTGTGGATTCATCCTCTGGCGGAAGCAGTTCCGTGCGCGCGTCGTAGGACTCAGCGCTTCGATCTCTGGAGACGGAGGTCCTGCTGACAATGAGCAGAGCAAGTCGTCAAGCACCTCTCCTGCAGCAGGAGGTGCCGTACATCCGCGCGATCGGGGGGTTGTTCGCGATCTGCTCGACGAGGTTATGGATGCAGACGAGGAGGACGTGCCGTTGGCGGTTGCCTTGGCGCGCAAGCGGGCCTCTGTTACCTCGGACAAAGCCCCGTCCCCAGGGTTGGCAGCAGCTCTGCCGTCGCCCGCCCGCACGGCAGCACAGAGCCAGCCTGTCATAACGACGACGCCCGAGCTTGCCTCGCAACATTCCCCGCCGCCGTCGACAAATCCCGCTCCACCTCTGTCTGCACCTTCGTCGGCTGATGCTCCGGATGACAAGGGGGCGGTGCTCAAGTCCCCACTGTCTGGTCCCCCTTCCGATCTCTTGCCTGAAGCTTGCGGTCATGCCAGTGAGTCGAAGGATGTGCTATCGCCTGATGGCCTTGCTCCCCAATCTCCCGTGCCGACCGCCAGTCCCCTGCCTCCTCAACATCTCCGACTGGAACCGCCGCCTTCGTCGCCATCGCCACTGCCCGCAGAACGCCCTATTCTGAAGATTCGTATCAAGGTCCCGAAACATCTCAGGAGAAGAAGAAGGAAGTCTTCCCTCGAATGGCAGCTCGGGTGGGATTCCGACTTGTCCGACCTCACTCCGCTGGAGGAGTCCACCGATGAGGGCGAGTCCGAAGTGGACCCCTCTGACAGCGAGAGTGAGAGTGACGACGAGCCACTTGCCAACGTAAGTAGCGAGTGTTCATTCGTTGGTTGTTGACTTACTGATACTGATACACTGCATCTCCCGTGTAGCGTATCAAGACAAAGTCTGAGTTGCAGATCGAAGCTGAGGACAACGGTGTTACAGCAGCCCTGGCGGCGCCCGTTAAGCATCGTAGTGTCTGCACTGCTGTCAGCTGTGCGAACTTGGTGCCTGAGGAATCTCGCCGGAGGGAATGCAACTTCTGCAGGGCGCGCAAGCGTAGTGCAAAGAGACGTCTGCAGCTGCAAAGGCTTATCGCCGAAGACACTATTGAGGAAATCAAGGTACATCTCTCCTTCCGTGAT